ATACTTTCAAAAATCACAAATATAATTTAAAACAGTATTTTAAGTGGCAAATCTCTTTCAAGTGGGACAACTTTATTTTTACCGAAGTTTTCTGTTTTTGCACTCGAATATCGAATTACAAGGATAAATACATTTTAACCAATCAAATTTAATTATTTATATTTAAATTGTTATGATATTATAGTGCGAATGCATTTTAAACATAGCGAAATGTAACAAAAATAAAAACGTTTAGAGAAATATTTAAAAATTAAAAGTCAGTATAGTGAAGGGTATGAACAAATTTTAGGGATTTTGTGGAAATAGTATTTTAGAGTCAAATAAATATTAGAACAGGTGCAGTTGTCATAAAATTAATTAGTTTCATGAAAGTAAGTAAAAAAATATAGAAGTAAAATATACAAACAAACAAGTAAAAAAAAAATAAATACAAGTAAATAAATATTAACTAACGTTTATTATAAAGGCTTAAATATCATTTACCATTGAATGTAGTCCAACCTAGTTGGAAAACTTAAAGATTTTAGACATTTTTCTAAATTGTTTGATGTTTCGAATTCTTTTAGGATGTTTTCAATTCTTTCATTCAATTTTACATATGCTTTTTTCCTGTTTTTTCCAGGTCGCCTAATTTTCTGGCTAAGGACAATTTTTGTGTTTCTTCTTTCAGTATTTTAACTAATAAGTACACATTAGGCTGGTTTTTGCCAGCAATTGCTTTTAATTTGGAATTCCACCCTTCAGCACAATTATTTGTCCTATGATACTGTCCATACGCATTCCATACTTTAATGGGCATATTTGGATTGTCCATCCTGCTTGACAAATTTATCAATGGATATGGTACGTTTGTCAATGCTAAAAGATGTTCTCCATAAAATACTCTAAGCATCATCTATCTGTTCTATTGGCAAGTAAGCTAATGCAGAAATCATTCTGCAGACATTTCTTATATCTTCGTTCTCTTTATGTTCATTTACTAGACCATTTCTTTTATCTTGCGCCACAAAATTGATTAAAATGAAAGTTACAACCGGAAATAGTCTAACTGGAAATTCTAACATACGCTATTGATGGGCTGCGGCTTCAAATCCAATTTATAATGTCCGGCTTTCACTTAGGGCACCAACATTTCACTTCCTGAAACATTGCAATGTAAGTTGCTTGTCTCTTATCAGGCAGAAATGCAAAAAGCGCTGGATAAATGTTGATCTCAGTTGCTGAACTCCGTAAGTCGACGTGTGTTGTATATATTTGAGCAAATTGTTTCGGACAACTTTTAAATGTTCCATCTAAGAAAAAAGTCTCCATTTTCCAAAAGGTACCGAGATTCTTCTCCTTCAAATACCAAAATCCTGTTATCTTGGTCATTTTTAAAGTCTAAACGAAGAAAGTTTTTTTCTCCATTGAAAAGTATAAGTGTATCGTTTGCAAAATGACTGTCGTTGGCATTTTGGGGATTTGGGGTAGCTCCCAAAGCCTTTCTCCTCTCCTTACATAAAACAGTCTTGGCACTGGAGTATATCGGTGTTTTAATAACGAAATCATAACCTTTCTGATATAATTCTGAAAGTTCTTGAAATATCTAGGGAACGGGAACTGATGTTTCTTCTCGGATTCTTTTTCTGTAAGGCTCTAACTTCCTTTTAACTTCGATCTCAGCAATGTTGGAAACGTAGGAATGTTCAGTTTTCTTCAGTACTTCGTACTGAAAATTTGTCTTTACATTTCCTTTACAACGATGTGTCTTTTCTTTTACACATACCCAACTCATTCCTAATTTATTTTTTCGGTGATCATCTACAACTAAACATTCTTTTCCTTTTTTTTAGAGAGTAATTTTGCTGAAATGGCTATGAGTTCCATAACAGATTTTCTCGACGCTATAAAACGAGATACAGACTTCATAAGGATCAAACATCTACTGAGAAATTAAGAAAATTTTTTTGTCTTAAAAGTATCGGCTTATCTCTACAGCAGGTGCAAACCACACAACAGATGAAAGGTGACTGATTAAGGAAACAACACAATAGGTGCAAGAATGTCCGCGCTGCCCACCCAGCTACCCTCACGTGTCCGCTGTAGCCACTGTCCGCTCTGACCACGTAACCATTAGGTAAGGTGAGCTTGAATTAACACACAAATACAAATCTGAACTAAAGATTTATTTGCTGCTATTTTTAGTTTATAACGAAAAGCTGCCCGTCGCTGCTTGTGGAGCAAATATTTAAGTCACAGTCCAAAAACAAATAAAAATTAGCTCTATTAGACCTCGGCTACTCTCCATTTCCCCTTTGGTTAGAGCTAAACTATGAGCAGTTACATAATCACTCATCAAATAACTCCAGAACAGCAGCTACCAAGTGCGCAGCTCATTGGTTACTAAACCATTGCGACAACACAGCATCAGCGTTGCAAATCGAAGTTTTCTAAATGCTTTTGTCCAAAGCATTTGAATGTGACTTAATTGACATTGTGGTGAAGGGTGACAGAAAAATGAAAAGGACTGAACTGAATTAACATAAAAATGACTCGTTAGTTAAGAAGTCTTATAAGATATTAGGTGGTAGTTATAATCTACGTATGGCCTAGTCTGCCATTCATATCTTGCAAAAACCATAATGACTCATATAGGATGATGATCATCAAGAATCCAGATGTTAATTCAGCGCAGCATGTTTGGCACAATAAAAAGAGAAATTTTAAGCTTAATGCTAAAGAATCCAACGAACTAAAGGGCTTTAATTAAATATTATAAAAAATGGGAATAATCCCTAAAACTTTCATAGACATTTCTATTCATATTAAAAATCCTCTATCTCAGGTGTGTATTTCAGAGCGTATTTTTTAAATTACAGTGAATGATAAATAAAAATTTAAGCTGCTATTACAATGAACTCATTATTTTGAAGTTTGAAGTTCCAGATTTGAAGGAGAAAATTTGATATTCACCGAATAGCATACACATTTCGAGTAATTTTCGCAAATATTTTCTCTTCTAACATACGTTATTGACCCGAAATTTTATACTAAGTTTGGCACGTAGATCTAGTTTTATTCATGAGTTATTTTATTTATTCTTAAATTTATGCTTCTTTTTTAACTTAAGGGCAGTTAGTACTTCAGTACAGAAAAGCAACCGCGAGATATTAGCCTTTGTACAGATACTTTCACAGGAGTCCATGAATTAAAAACAGAAATCCAACTTCATATTAAGGAAAATTATCTCGCGCCTGTATTGCACATAAAGAGTAATTCGAATGTGTTCTTTTAGTAAGTTTGTTAGTTCACCAGTAATCAAACAGAAGATCAAATTCTAGTACTTATTATATTATATACTCAGACTCCGAGAATGAAATGGATAGCAAAGACAACATTTTATATTTAACTTAACTATAGGAAATAAACTTTAAATTATATTACTATCAATTTCAAATTAAGGAAAGGTGACATTTATGAAAGTTTTAGCATATTGCATATGTAAGTTTGTGGGTTACTGTTACTCAAAATTCCTGTTTAAATTTAATTCTTTCTATCTTAGTTTTCTTATTTGTTACATACGTCCATTTCATTTCTAATGAATCAAGAATGGGATTGTTTTATTACATTGCTCTTTTTCACTTATTAGTGAGCTTTGGATTAAAAAAAATAATTTTTGAATCCACATGAATAAATCGTGCAAATTATAAAAATAAAATTCTAAAATATATGATGTTATGGATCGAAACTAGACCATTTCCAGTCCACGATTACGACACTAACGTATAATCCGATTCTAGGTAGCTGCAAGTTGGAAGGTAAAATGTAGAATTGAAAATGATAGTTTTAAAGAGCGAAAACATATTTTTCAATAAATTTAAGCATTAATATAGCACTTATTTTCCATGATTTCAGCCCTTTCTTCAGGCAGTGTAATGAAGAATTCTTTGGTTTTCTCGCAAAATATTTATTTGTTATATTTCTGACTTTCTGTTTACTGGGAAATTTTTGTCATGCTGTAATGGTATAAGCAGGTTTTCCATTACTATACATTTTTCGACTTACTTTTGCAGCATTGTTTGTTCTGTCTACAGTTGTCTTTGTGATCGCCATTATAAATAAAGAAAACTTTTGCAACATGTGCCTTAGCATTATTCTGCTGAAGAAGCATATCATCTTTGTTTATCAATGATCGTTTGATGATTATAGCCCTTTTCAAATTACCTAACTGAGGATAACAAACGGCTGCAAAAATATTTTGTTATTTTTTCATTTCTTTTTCCTCATTAGCAGTAACAATACATTTTAAGGAAGACACTACTTAGACCTATTAGCGTAGGTAGTTACTGAAAAACTAATAGCACTTAGGTATACTGAGAAAAAATTACAATAAACTTCTGTACCACTTCCATGCAGGTACCCCTCCCCCCTAAAACATGTTAGAGAAAATGTTGCTTCTGAAATGATATCACTTAACCATGAATAAAAGTAATTCTTTGGTACTAAGAAAGACGTGGTATCAAAATTATAATGATAATTTAATGTAAAATTTAGATTGCAGGATTACCTTAGTATACTTATACGTACTTGATATATGGCAAGCCAAAGTCCTGCATAGCTTACTCTTCTTCATAAACTTAAACATCATTAGTTTCTATACGAGATACGAATGAGACTTTTTACGATTTTAGGTGAGGTTAAAATTAAAAGTGAAACAAAATAATAGCTGTGTATTGTCTTTTCGTTTTAAGTTTCTAGGCAACTTGTAGAGTCATTATGACTTTTGAGGTAGGAGACGTGAAAATGTGCAATGCCATCTCCAGGACTCGAACCTGGACCTCTCGAATACGCGCCGCGTGTGCTACCGTTAAATTAAGAAGACATGATGGAAGGAGGGAAAATACCTCATAAACGTTTTCTGAAATCAAATTACTATCGTTTTAACTAATTAAGTCTACAAACCTTTCTTTTAATAAGACAGAATATACTTTTTATACTTAAAAATAATATTTGTTTTTTAGCTGAATGGATGTGACGAGATCGATGGAGTTGATTCTGAACCAATATTTGAGACAGCGCCAATGTTTAGAGACGAGAGAGATGACAGCAATCAAGCTGAAAAGCAGGTGCACCTTCATATTCAACTTTGGAAGTTTTGTTCTTTGTTCTTGATTTTTTAAGTGTATAATACGCTAAGATACGTGTCGTAGAATAATTGTGCAAGTTTCTGGCATTAGCAGAAACGTATTTTCACTTGCTGTATTGTAAAACTTTTCTGTTACTACTCTCAAAGTGCTTAAAATATTATAATCTAGAACTTTTCGCAAAAGGTTCTTATTCAGTGTTGATTATTTTAAGTAATTTAAATGTAGTTTATTGTCAAAGCGTTGAATAATTTTTAGTGGAAACGATTAATTTTTCAAAGTAGATATTTTCACAATAAATAAAAATTTTGCCACTTCAAAATGTTTTATTTAATCTTCTACTGTACTTACTTATTTGTTAATGAATTTATAATAATTTGAGGTTTCATTTAGATAATTTGATCACCTCACCTTTCTTCAAAGAGGCTTTAAAGTGATTTAATTCGCCTATTTTCATATTTACTTTACAAAATTTAAACTTTATTCACAGAAAACAAGTGCAGAAAGGAATAACAGATGAAAAAAAAAAGAAAAAAACACAGTGCTTTTATAGTATTAACGGTATTTAAAGAATATGAATGATGATGATGGTTGATGAATGATGGTTTTTTTTCCCATAAGCAGCTTGTTTTAAAATAAATCTAATGTCGCACCGAATCTCGGTTCATGAGACCAACCTAAAATCATAAAAAAGAAGAGAAATAATATGCATCCAAAAAGTAATGTCCGGAAGTTATACTTTCGCAAAGAAATATTACTTTATTAGTTCGTCTAGAAGTTGCTTAATCCGTTAATGTGGAAAGTTTAAAGATTAGTTTAAAGAAATGCTGGTAAATTCATAAATATATAAGACTAAATATTACGGAGGGAGGAAGATAATTAAGTTTTGTAAATTTATTCGGAGATTTTCGGCTATTTTTAAGTCCCTTTTCTCTCTTGAATATAACCATAAAAACAGAATTTCAATTGATTTTTAAAAACTCATTTCAAATTATTGCATGACAAATTACGTGCTTTGAAAAGCACCCTTCTTAAAATTCATAATGAAAATATGAACATAACATAAATGCATTCGTTCTGAATAGTCTTTTGGAGCCCTGAAATATTTAGCAAAGCAGATCCTGAAGATCGAATTACATCAAAGATAGAAAACTAACGCATAGTTTCATTTTTTTGTAATGATTTATAATTTTTTATTTTTAAATAGTTGCTTTCTAATTGTTAGGTGCGTTGTGATACGACATCTGAGGCATGAAATGGGTGTGTTCGAAGTAAAATAAAATACATTCAATTCAAAGTAAATTATACACATATAACCATACAAAACGCAGGCAGATTTTACTTCGGAATTTTGTGATTACTCATACTTGCTTTCATAAGTTTTGCTATTATTTCCTCTTCTTAAGCATCTAGAAAATGTTTAAAGCTAGGTCTAATTTGGATGATAAATAAAGAAGTTGGCAGAATTATATGTTCATTGAAGGAGCATGTCTATCACTTCCCATGTGTGTTTAAATAATACTGCACATAAATGTTTATACGTTTCCTATCAGTGTAATAAAATGTACTTAATATGTGTTGCTGTTTAAATACAGTTTACGTACAAAGCATATGTGTGTGTTTACCAATATTGCTTATTTCTTGCTCTTGTAGTGCATTTAAACGTTGAAGGAAATAATATGACATAAATGGCATATTAAAATTTGGCTTTAAATATAACACTTTTATTAATTTACGAGAAGATTTTGAGCCTCTTGATTCTTCAATCTATTCAACCTAGGACTTAAATTTCCTTATTTCATTATTTTCAGTGCCTCTGCTATTAGTTCTTTCAGTGCAAGAAAAATTATACACACCGGTTATTTCAAGCATTAAATATCGATGAAAATACATTTTTTATTCTTTAGAAACTAGAAATTATTTTGTGTGCACTTTATAAATTTAATTTCATTCATTTCTTCGACACCAAAATCTTCATTCGACATTTCAATTTTAGAAAATTATTACCTATATTACATTTAACACTTTCGTTCTTAAAAAACTTTCAGCTGGAGTTGCTGCGTAGCAGAATTTTTGAAGCCGTTCGAGTAATTAGGGATATGGAAGTGGAAGAAAATGATGATAGTAATCTCATCAGCATGGTTACCTCTCTTTCTGAAGAATGCAGCGCTCTCCGACAGGAAGTCAGTTATCTGAGAAATGTTCGACAAGAAAAGAAGAGAGCATGGAATAAATTGCAGTGCTTTATCATGGATGCAGAGGTGAGATTAAAATTTGTGAAATAGTTTGTTGACAGAAAAGTGCATCTTCATATCCTAAAACTATGCTTCTCTGTTTGCGTAATATAACATTCAGTAAAATTTTGTTGACAGAGGAAACTGAAAGGGAGCACCAGCATCATCTGTGATCTAAGAGACGTAATAAGAGAGATGAATCAAATGATTTCGTCAAGTGAAACATCTTCCCTTGATGAAACAATTATGTACATGTATAACAACCAGCTTGAAAGATTAGAGAAAGTATCCAACCGACATGAAAGCATTTCTGAAAACGTAGCTTCAGGTAATGAAGAAAGTTATTCATTCTAGTTTAATTCACATACTTTTTTTTTACATTTGACACATATTTTATTTTATTAGAAATACAGAATTCAGATTATCGAACTTTTATTAAATTAAAATGATTTTATTTACAAACCAGATTTCAGTTCAGTTTTACATTGTAAGACTTCAGTTCTATGGAGCACATAATTAAAATAAAACTATCCATATAACTGAACTAGTTATCTTGGGCAGAATTATAAATGGTGTGCTATTGCAAAATCTTGCGGTATTATGAAGTAATAAGGAAAACAAGAAAAATAATTGTCTTTTATGGCTTAAAGGAAACTGCATTGGCATGTAGTGCATTAGCTTGAAATATTTCGCCAATATACAAAATGTTTTAAAAAATTTACCCAAAATTTTATGGTGACCATTTGAATGTCAGCTCGATTAATTTAGTTAAATAAACTGTAAATGGTAAAAATTAAACACCTTTAACAAGAAGAAGTTTATATTTTTAGGTTATTATTTATAAATACTGAACGGAAAGTTACTGTTTATTAATTTATATATAAATTTTAAGCAACATCTACTCATTTTTTTATAATTTTACCTGACTATGAAATCTAATTCCTTTTCTTCATCGTTTTTAGCAAACTGCTTCAAAAATCTCCAACAATATTCCTCCTATGAATAAAAGTATGAATGGTCGTGAACTGGAGTTTAGATTTAAAAGGTATCAATTAGACTACGGCTGTTTGTTTACGTTATATCCGTGGTTTCTAAATTGAATTTTATTTGCTTTAATATTTGTTTAGTTACTTAAAAAACAATAAATAAAATTCTATCTTTATATTCCAAGACATAGAACTTTTAATTATTTAAATCCTAATCATGTTTTTAGTATATATTAACATAAACTTCCATTAACCAAAATTTATAATAAAAATGTATCTTACATTCCAGGCATATACTCAAGAAGCAGAAAAATATATGAGAAACTCACTAACCAAAATGATATCGTTTAGTAAAAAACATTAGCTACCTAAAGCAAACTGATTTCGGGAGAAAATGAGCGCTGACATTAAGAGATAATCGAGGAATAAGCGATTATTCAGGAGTAATGTGATGAATTCTGAAAAAACGGTTAACACAAATGAAGTAGTTAATTATGCTTTAGTAAAAGCTTTAACTTTGCTATATGCCATTATTTGTCATCTACAGCGATATGTGATGCTCTTGTTAGAGTATGCGAGTTGCTACTCTAGCCGAGCCATGCTAGTAAGCTGATAACAGGCATTTGTTCATGTTTTATACAGGCTCTGTTGGTAAAAGGTGGGAAGATCGAGCAGGTTATAATAGCTTGTAATATCCTAGCTTATTTGAAAGTGCTTGTGGGCTAGAATATTGAAGAACTGTGTAGCGACTTATCGCGGAGTTCTGTACGCAAATGACAAGTCAAAGGAAGGGTTAATTTACCTTTTATTCCAAATCAAAATAGATGAACAGATGGCTCCTTCTCAGACTTACAGTAAGCCTACACTCAGACGTTTAACTTAAGATAGAAAATAAGAAACTAATCTAATACTAACAAAATTAAAATCAGCCGAAGCTGTAAAGAATTAACTAACAAAATTGGCCCTTATTTAAGATCACAGGCGGATACTAGCAGGCACGTAACAATACGGCCTAATAGTAGTAAGGTTAGACTTCTAGTAATAACGTAGCCGGAAGGCACAGCACATTCTCCTAACCCTCTACTAGGATCTTCTAATGAAGCGATCTAGACTTCATATTAAATACTTGCTTCTACCTCGTTTAAATAAAACGTAATCCTAAAAACTCATTCTGGTAGGGAATCGTAGGTGGGAAGCGCGAAAGTAAAGGAAAGGCTTATTAAAAAATAAAAATAACTATTAGAAACTTTAAATAAAGTCCTACAAGCTTATTGAAAGTTTAGAAACATGAATAACTTTGTAAGGAAAACATAAGACAAGCAATCTAGCATTATCTAGCTAATTAATAATCACAGGAAACTGTGATGCTAGCTGTAATAGGGTAATTCTAAAATGTTTGGTTATAATTCTGGGTCTTAGGGTAACACAAAGCACTACCATGCTGTCCGGTTGCCTTAGGAAATAGTTACATGCACAGGCGTACAGGTTCATGGCAGTATGCAGCTCCGTCATGAAATAAGTATCAGCCTGCTTTCCAGTCTTTTCAGACAACTATGCACCGATCATCAGAACTAAGCGGAAGTACTGTAATGATATGCTATTTATCAGTAGCTTCCGAATTTAGATGTGCAGTTCTCTATAGAACAAAATTTGATGTAGATCGGATTCATTTTTAGATGAGTTATTTGTAAAACGTTATTATTTCTTTATTTAGTGAATGTGAATTCATACGGCAGAAATTCTTAGGAACCGCTTACTAGTATCGCAGATTGAACTCTAAAAATAACACATCGATTTAGAAAGTTACACTCCAGTCACACTTAATCTACATTGAGTAACTAGTAAAAAGCGGTCTGTTTTCATTGAGTAACAAGACAGTATTTTGTCCTGTCTCAACTTAGGGTGCTACATCAAAACTGATAACAGCAAGTTATAAAATCAACTAAATTACTTATTGGTATCTTAGTTTGACGTTACAACTAAGAAGAATAAGGAAATATAACTTCTGCTACTCAGAGCTTAAATTACACCAAAGCTCGGATCAGGTAGTTCTTAGTTTTTGTATTAAATCATAATTCTAACCGGAGCGCACCGGAGCCCTAAATAAGAAGGATCTGGTAGTTCTTAATGTAACTGAACAACAATTACAGAAGAAATTAGATCTCGAAAGTTTTATTTTTAATAATAACATTATATTAAAAATGGATCCTCACTTAGAAATGCATGCCTCTCTTTCCTTGGGAAACAAACCCTTGAATGGAGGTAGAGACTTTTAATAAAAGAAACCACCCTTCCACGTCAAAGGCTTAATCTCCACTTTATGGAATGACAGCGCGTAAATTTTTCATTCCAACTCTAGTGTCTTCCCGAAGAAAAGAGCATCTGCAGCCTTTTCGGAACGATGTAAGCGAAGACGGGGAAAGAAAATTGTCATTTATTACCTTTTCCTTAGCTAACCCTCGGATTCGAGAAAAATTTGTTTCACAGTCATGTTTTGCTTAACAGCTAGAATTAAATTGACAGGAGAATCATGGTTAGAAAATGTTACACACTTCTTTCTTTGTTTTCATACACATACATACTCCGTTAATATTTTCTTTATACTCTGCTACTGTTTATAGCATTTTCTTTAGTCTCATTAGTGATACTTTAATCATTTTAGCATTTTTCATTGGTGTCTCTGTAAAAAGAACGGTCTTTATTTCTATCATCAATTGAAGAAGTAGAGAGATTAATTAAAACCGGTGACCGTTAGAGCTATTTCTTAGTTTTGTGTGAAATTGTAATTCCAGCCGGAACCCCAAATAAGTCAACGTCCAGTACTTTATTTTATTATTTAACTATTTACCATTTATTTAATAGCTTATTAAATATTTTTTGTCTCTTTACATTTTGTTAAATTTTAATTACATTATTATTTAAAATCATTATATAATTATTCTAATCATTAGTTATTTAATTAGTTTAATAATTAATTATTGAATCCTTTAATTATCAATCACTTTATCATATTATTAGTCATTTTATTTATTCTTGTTCCTCTTTCCAGACGATCTTCCATAGGGCTCCGTATCTTCTAATTTCAGAAATGCCGCTACTTGCTGCCTGATAATATGCACTGCTCAAAATAATTAGGAAACATTGAGTGTTCGGTATGAAATAGACATATAATTGATTAATCTGATTATTGATTAATCTTAATTAATTAATTAAAACGAAAAAAAGAGGAGATCAGAAAACAAAACTATGATGTTTACAAATTTCGGAATTTTCAAATTTTGTCTGTAAGTGCGAAAATCACGAGTTTTTAATAAGGAGATCTGCAACATTCTTCATGTAGGAGGAAATGCAGTATGTGTATTCTTTATTTAGGAAGACGTTTAGAAATGGGCTAAACGCAAGCCACTGCCTTTGGAGTGTCCCAAAGTATATTTTTCAGATTTTGAATTCGGTTTCTGGAAACTGGACAGTTTAGAGGAAGATAAGTCAAAGATCGTAAGCGTACAACAAAACCAAAAGAATACTATTCTTTAACATGAACGGCCAGAGAAAACAGTGATATGAACAACACGTTTCTATAATAGCATCACCTAAAGGCTACTAACACCAAACTTTCAACTCAAACTGCTCAAGACAGACTTCATAACTTTGGTTTGTATGATGGCAAATTTATTGCCATTGTTTTTTTAACAGAAGGCCATCGTGCTGCCCACAGAAGGTGGATAGAAAACATCTGAGACTGAAACGAAAGGTTACATTATATTATGCTAGGTTCAGTTAGTTGAATATGGCAAAGCGTACAAGGGCTATCCGCCTAAAGGAAGGTGAAAGCTATGTTCACTTGTCAGACGAGTTCTGTTTTAGTGCATAATTTAATAGTCTGCTTACCATTGAAATTAGTGGTGAACTCAGAATAATTCTGCATTTATAAATGAAAATGCTCGATTTGACGAGGCGAAGTGATTGTCTGGCCAGTATCTGTGTTAATGGTAGGATCAGCTCGAACATCATAAGAAATGAACTACGATGTAGGGACGAGACCCTTGAACATTTTGTGACCTTACACACTGTAGCAGTCGGGAATGAATTCGTTATCACGGATCCTAACGAGAGGCCTCAACATGTTCAAATATACTTTTTTTGACAAAGAAATCCTTCAAATGGAACGGGCATAAACTCAATCAAAAATGCTTGAAGCATTCTAGGAAGAAGTGTTGCTTGCCATTTATCACCCTCCAGAAACAGTTCATTAGTTAAAACCCGCTTTTCTAGCGGAGTGAGAGAGCCGCCCAGACGGTATAGTGGTTAAGGAAGCCAAATGCAATACCGAACGGCTCGGGTT